CCCCTCCAGCACGTTGCAGCCCATTCCATGAGGTACTTTCCCTTGTGGATCCGAGATGGCTGGACGTTAGAGGAAGGAGGATCTGGAACAGTTTCCCAATAGGACTAGTGGTGGGAAATAACCCGACTAGTCTGAAGATGGAATTCGCCCCATTCATATAATTCTGGTCTATGATGGGACCATGTACAACAGCAGGTGCCTGGATTCAGTGACCCAGATGGTCCCATGTCCTAAGGAAGTTTTACTGACTAAATCCTCCAATTGTTATATGGCTTCTCTGAGTTGCATCGTGAGTTACACAGCGGTTCTCAAACTTGCCAGACCACTGCACCCTTTCAGGAGTCTGATTTGTCTTGCGTACCCCCAAGTTCACCTCGCTTAAAAACGACTTGCTAACAAAATCAGACATAAAAATACAAAAGTGTCGTAGCAGTGCACGCTGTTACTGACAAATTGCTGACTTTCTCATTGTAATGATATCATTATAAATAAATCAGTTGGAATATAAATACTGTACTTACATTAGGGGATAGTACCTAGAGCAGCATAAACAAGTCATTCTCCGTAGGAAATTTTGGTTTGTACTGACTTCGCTAATGTTTTTTATCTCTCCTGTTGTAAAACTAGGCAAATATCTAAATGAGTTGATGTACCCTGTGGGAAAACTGTGCATACCCCTAGGGACAAGACTTTCAAAGCGTGAACACAGCTCAGCTTGTTTGTGCCCCTCTTGTTATGTCCTCCCACCCCACCACTTCTCTTTATCCTTCTTCTCTCTAGCTAAGGCCCCGATCCTGCAATGTTCACCATATGAGCAGATCCCTACGCCCATTAAAGTCAATCGGACTCCACAGGGGACTCCTGGCAGAATCCGGACCAAAAAGAGCATAATCCCTTCGGGGCGGGAATTGTCTTTTGCTATTTAGCTTTACAGCACCTAATACAATGGGGCTCTGATCTGCCAGGTGCAGCTGTAAGAACATCAGTAACGTATTGATTCACAAGCCATAACGAAGAATTCATAATCGACATGGAACAATAAATAGCAAAGGACTCAGTTTGATAGGTAGCACGTGGACTTGCTTATTAGCCAGTAATGACTAATAATAAATCTATACCAGTCCTAGCCACCAGCATATCCATAGATTTAGAGGCCAGAAGAGATCACTGATGATCTACTTACCTCCTGCATAACACGGGCCAGAGAGCTTCCCTGAATTAATTCCTGCTTCAACTCCAACAGCTGTGGCCGAGCTAGAACTCCGTTTAGAAAAACATCCAGCGATGGAGAATCCACCACAACCCTTGGCAAGTTGTTCCAATGGTTAAAGATCCTGACTGTTAAAAAAAACTGGACATTTGTCCAGTCTAAAGTTGTCTAACTTCAACTTCCAGCCATTGGGTCTTCTTAAGCCTTTGTCAGCTAGATTGAAGAGCCCTCTATTATCAACTTGCTGTTCCCCAGGAAGGTGTTTCTAGACTATGATCACCCCTTAACCTGCTCTTTGATAAGCTACTGGGGTCTCTCACTGTACGGGACGTTTTCCAGTCCTCTAACCATTCTCGTAGCTCTTCTCTGAACCGTTTCCTTTTATCGACATTCTCCTTGAACTGTGGGCACCAGGACTGGACACAGGATTCCAGCTGCTGTTGCACCAGGACCAAATACAGAGGTAAAATAACCTTTCTGCTCCTACTCGATATCCCCCTGTTTATATATTGAAGGATCATGTCAGCCCCGGTTGACTATAGGACTGCCCTGGGAGCTTGTGTTCAGCTCATTATCCACCATGACTTCAAGTCTGCTTCAGAGTCACTGCTTCCCAGGAGAGAGTCCCCCACCTGTAAATACATCCTAGACCTAACATTTGGCCATACTGAGGCACAGAGTGTTTGCATCTAGCTCACCTAAGGATCCAGCTCGCTCTGTATCAGTAATCTGTCCTCTTCATTATTTACTGCTCCCCCACTCTGTGCGTCTTCTACAAACCGCTGAACATGAGCTCCCAGTGTGACACTGTGGCAGAAAGAGCTAATGCAATCCAGGGCTGCATGAACAGGGGAATCTTGAGTAGGAGCAGAGAGGTTATTTTACCTGGGTACCTGGCATTGGTGAACCGCTGCTGGAATTCTGTCTCCAGTCCCAGTGCTCACAGTTCGAGAAGGGTGGTGATAAATGGGAGAGGGGTCAAAAAGAGCCAGGAGAATTGGAGGATTGGGGCACACGTGTAGGTGAAATATTCAAAGAGCTCAATCTATTTAGCTTAACGAAGAGAAGGTTAAGGGGTGACTTGATTACGGTTTTAAACGTCTACACAAATATTTGGCTTTTTAATTTAGCAAAGAAAGGTGTAACACAATCCAATGGCCAGAAGATGAAACTAGACAAATTCAGCCTGGAAAGAAGGCGTACATTTTTGGCAGTAAGGGTAATTTACCATTCGAACAATTTACCAAGGGTGATGGTTGATTTCCCATCCCTGACGATTTTAAAATCAGGGATGGATGTGTTTCTAACAGATCGGCCCTAGGAATTATTTTGGGGGCCATAGTTCTCTGGTCTATGTAGACAGGACGTCAGACTAGATGCTCACACTAGTCCTATCTGGCCTTCGAATTGGTGGTTTATTAACTTTATCAGTGATGATTTTATGTTTTCTTCCAGGTCATTGATCAAATGAGTGTTAATTTCAAGAGTCAAAGATCTGGCCTGAATGCCCATCAGTGAAGGGCCCAACACAATTATTATGGCAGCAGCCAGCCATGGACCCTTGTGCTAGGTGCTGTACAAACAGAGAACAAAGAGAGATTTCCTGCTCCAGGGAGCTTAAGCTAAGATTATTATTTTTTGCAATCTCCCCATTGGAAGAAAATAACCCAATTCCTTTCAAACTTACCCAGAAGGTGGGAGATGAGCTGCTTCATGGTGGCCACTGCCTTCTGCAACCAGGCAAGAAAACCGCATCTACTTTATCCTGTTGTGATCTTCCTCAGAGGAAGTTTGCTGACTAACACAGTTTTTACTGTTTTTTTTTATCACAGTTCCTTATCTCAGCTGTGTCTCTCTTCGGACGGATACACCCCCCAGCCCACGATGGCCTCTAAGCATCTTGCTAACATTTGTTATGAGGGTAAACCTACTTCCAGTGGTGCTGGAACGAGGGGTGCTGCCACGCCCCTCAAGTTGATGTAATAATAACAAACACCAAATACATGGTTTCCATCAACAGCACCCCCCTCCCACTATCAAAATTGTTCCAGCCCCCCCACCTACCTCCAGCAATCTACAGGAAGGAAAGTAACAGGGGAAACTGTGCTCTTTGCTTTTCATAGTAGTGGGATGTGAAGGCTTTAAATAACCTCATGGATGGTTCCTGGGAACCACATGTGACATTCTACAGCTTGGGGGAACGTCCTGTAACCCCTATAGTCCTCATTTTTATATAATCGTGATCTTACATATAAAGCAGGCCTTGTAAGGTGTCAGGGGAAAGGTTACGCTCTGCTGAAAGTCATTTCTCTATCCATATATGTATAGCATTACTGCACATGAAGTTATGAGAATTGTGTGCACGAAAACATGCTGTAAGTTGGGGAATCAGCCAGATATTCGCTCCCCAGAGTCAACAGCAAGGAAAGTAACCAACACCCGGGCGGGTGTCAAACAACCATCAACAGCCATTGTCCAGCAAGGGAGCCACAATGCAATGACTCACCTGCATAAGGCCACACATGGGGAACTGCTCACCCCTGCCTGGAGACTCAGCAGTGCCCCCCAGACATGCCTGGACTTGTGCTCCCCAAGCACATGGGACGGAGGGTATAAAACGGAACCCAGTGGCCACGTGCTGGGCCTTTCTCCCTCACCCACCTATGCTGCAAGCAACAAGGACACTCTGAAGACTCCAACTGAGGGGAGTGGCCCAGATTTCAAGGGTGAAATCTGTGTCCTATGAACTGTAATATCCAGCGGGGTGAGATAAACTGCTGAATCTAGATGTTGCCCAGTCTAACAGGGTCGAGCATTTAGACTGTGGGCTTATATTTTATTTTGGTAACCAACTCTGGTAACTTTTGCCTTTCCTGCTGGAGTAGGAAGTTGTTCTGGGGCTCGGGGCTGACTGTACAGCTTATAGAAAGGGAAACACAGACTCTGTGCCCTGTCTCGATTTCATGCCATCCCTTTAGGCCACTCTAGCAGAATAAAGCGGGCAGAAATGGCCACCCTTTGTAAACGTCCCATGGGCAGGGGGCCTCGCTAGCTGGCATAGAGGCCCCGCATCCCCCTGCTCCCGGAGTGGAGGGCAAATCAGGGGCATGACCAGAGTCCTGCACTACATCTCTTCCCTGCTCCCCAGGAGGCTATAGGTTGCAGCATAAGTTAGAATAGCCTTGAGGCTGCTCTAATTTACACCAAGGGCTGGGCACAGCCCTGAATGACCCCAGAATAGAGGGAACACAACATTTCTTCTAACTTAGCTGCTGCAGGGTCTCTCCCTACAAGGCCTCCTCTGCTATGGAATGAGTCTCACTTCTGGATATGTCTGAAGTAGAGGTCATGGGGCGCAACTGGGCCAGCCGGACAGGGCTCTAGCACCTGACTGACAGCGTTCCTGGCACTGCCCTAGGCACTGTGGTCGCAGCACTACGCCTCAGAGGACCTGAGATAACGCATCACAGCTGATCTCGTGCTCTGCTGCTAGGGGACAGCCGTGGAGACCATGAACCCTGGCGGGGAGAACAATGGGGAGTTGTGGGGGGGAAGAGAAGAGGCCACATACTATGAATCCCCATCCACCCAGCACTGCGAGGGTTAACACAGCATGCAGCACCAATCTCTCTGCTTTTCCCTGCAGCTGCTGCTGCCTTATCTCCCTGCCAGAGCTCAGTTCCCCTCCTTGGTTTCTTGCAGCAGCCTCTTGACATCGCCCTGGTGCAGGATGGTGACACTTCTTGTGAAAGAAACTTCCCCTTTGAAGTTCCAGAGTGCCCAGAGCTGCCCTGCAGGCCCATGCCGCCAAAATAGGAAACACCCAGGGGACCCTCGTGGTGGCTAAGGATATACCTACATTGCAACCAGGAGGTGTGACCATTGCACTTCTAGACATGTCTGAGCCGATGGTTGAGTCGTACCGGAACGCTCCGGCACTTCCCTGGCATCTTGCGATACTTCCAGTACTTGCATTCCAGCGCGGCTCAAGCCCTGCATCACCCCCTGATCTGAGCTAGCTCAGCATCA